CTTCCTGGACCTTCTGGAACTTCCGCGACTTGTTCAATAATTCAAACGCCGCACGAATCCGTGCCGACCTATATAAAAAATATATTATTTGCCTGACACATGCATTGGTAGCAAACGTGATAAAGCATTTGACAATATTGAATGTTATAATCTCTATCTATGGTGCTATTAAGTCAAGTAAAATAATAACGATATTTTGAAGTTGATAAATTGAAATCATTCCTTCGCTGCTAGGTATTTGTTACAACAACGTACGCTTATAAATTTAATTTCTTGCAGTGACAAAATCCTTAAACTATTAAATAAACGTGACCAATAGCTGATACTTATCAAAAAAAAGAGCACCATGTTATCAACAGTTCACGAACTTAGAAACTTATTAATACAAATCGAGTATTGTGTATACTTTATTATAACCAAGTCCACAAGTTTAGAACTTATTAGCATAGACGAGATATAAGAGTGTATTGGACATCCAAAATATTATTTTATCACGCAGAAATGAGGCTTTAGAATTCCCATTACCATTCCCGTGTCGCGTACATTCTTACCGATCGATATATAGTTATTATTATAACGAAGTATAACTAAGTATATATTATTATAACATTATAATACATTATATATAACTTTATAATACTTATTATTATAACTAAGTATAACTAAGTATATTATACTTATAACTCTAATTCAATACGTCGGTGAGACGAAACATAGGCACGCGTACGCATACACTATATTTAATTAGAAATTGAAGATTTGTATGTTATGATAAGCGCGAGCGTGGACACCGACAGTTGGACAGTCTTTGTTTATTTTTTCAAAATTGCCTCATATGTAGCAGTTTTCTTAGTTTTCTGCTCGTACAGCGGCAAGAGATATATGGCGAAATCTTGAAACTGTTGGTCGAGATCGCGACTGTCGTTAACTGTGGCCAATAGTTCGAGCGTTTCGCCACTACTCCAATTGGCGCTGTGCGCACATCGGACGGAGCTTCCTTTTTTCTACAAACGTGGCGCCACAGTGGACCACACGTGGATACGGTAGAGCCGTATAAAAACGTTAATTATGCCAAAATTACGGCATAAGGAACTAAACCAAGGACATTGAACTGTTCCGGAGAATCTACTGCATCGATATCGTGTACGGATCCTGTGGCTATTATATATCCAGTTTACTCTGATACCTCATCTGTGGTAATATACATTGGACATCGTTTGTACTCGTAGTAGAAATAAATAAGGTTTATACGATACTCGTTGTTTGCTAACGCACCTACAATTGTGAACTACCGGTAATAGAGAATACGACAGCGAACTGGGATTGGTGCCACCCAATGTATCTGAAACAGAAAAGTATTTATTTTTCTGCAATGTTTATAGTAACGATCCTAACAAACCTTGTGGCTAGATCTATTGCTATAATCGGATTTTAGTGTCTGATTCTGGTGTGACAGAAATATGTATACAGTGAATGTTACATCTCGTCTATGACATAATCAAAACGTGTCAGCAAACACAATTTTCGATTATAGTCAGTTTTGTTTCAATTTCACGTGTTTATATATACTTTCTCAATGAATGTATAGTAAATATATTATTAACCTTTTTTAATCTTTATACGCGCGCGCGCGTTGTGTTGGTGTAACACCACAATCACATTATACCGATTACTCTGCCCTCTGTTTATTTCAGCTGAAAATACACTTTGTCGACTGATTTTTAAATATCTTATCAGTTCCACTGTATTTCCTATAAAATAATACAAATTGTTAAAATAACGATTCCATTGGGGTTAATTGCGATTTTTTGTCACTATTTCCTAAATAGCATTACGCAATTGAAAATTGATCGTTGTTCGTATTGATAATTATTAACGAGAGAATGTTAACGAGTGAAACGAGAAAACAGTTAATTAAAATTTTATTGTATTACATTAAATTTGAATGTTCATTCAAGCAATTAAAACAGAACAAAATACTTTCCAAATATATAAATTCTATTCCATAAATGTTCATGTAAATAAGTTATAGTGTAATGTAATTTACCAAAAGTTATGTGTTTTATCATTTTTTTTCATTTTCATGTCCCACCCTTCTAATTTCTTTATATTTCCGGTTCCGGTCTCCCGGTTTCTCTTTGACAAGCCACTTTATTTATAGAGTTTTGGCAGGTCAGACTATTCTGTGCATTACAAACAAAAATCGGTGTGTTGCGATAGAAACGTAACGTGTAACAATCGTATACAATTTAGGTATAACAGAAAGCGAAATTATATCAGTGTTAATCGAAAGTGAAATTCCTCGCTCTTATTATCTAGTATTCGCGTCATGGTTGCTATGAAAATGTCAGCTCAGTGGTGATTCATTCTCCCATTAGTTGGCTTTTCATCTGTTTTTCAGCCGCACATTCTGCTCGACGAGCAGGTGAGTATATTGGTTAAATAAATTAGAATTTTTAACAAATGACTTTGCTGGGAATATCTGTTTCCATGTAATGTTTACGTTTACATATATTGGAAAGTTTAGAATAGGTTGATTAGGTTAGGAGTAAATATTTTTTTTCTGCATTACTATATGTGAAAACTGTTAAATCTACACTGAAAATATTCGTAGCTGTTAGTGTTTTAAGTTACGAATTATAGCAATTGTTTCTTTATATTAATCGTTCAGTATTATAAACAATGTATATAGTAACTGTGTCATAAAAAAAATTGTTCACATTAGTTCATGTATATATATATATATATATATATATATGTACATGTATAAAGTACTTCTGCTACACTTATTTCTTGTTAATAGTCATTAGAAATCTTCTCTTTTAATTGTCATTTTAGTGTATAAAATTTTAAACAATTATGATTATTTATTTGTAATTGTAATAATACTTTTTGAATATCTATGTTTTGTGTATATATATATATATTCTTTTTTTGTATGTAGGATGATGGAAGAACTACTGAATCAAACTGCCTCGCCGTCTGGTGAAAGCAATTGTTTGGGAAGCGAAGATATAAATTCAGCGACTATAGTTGCCTTAGATGAAAGATTATCGGATATTAATGCGAGGCATTCTATAAATGTTCTTAGGGCACAGCCGACTAAGAAAGCGAAGAGAGTGAGATTTTTTAGAAATGGAGATAAATTTTATACCGGTATTGTAATGGCAGTGACTCCGGAAAGATATCGCAGTTTTGATAGTTTAGCTTCAGATTTAACAAGAGCTTTAATATCGAGTGTCACTTTACCTAATGGTGTTAGAGCAATTTATACTATGGATGGACGTAAAGTTCGGAGCGTTAATGATTTGGAAGATGGCCAATGTTATGTAGTTTCTGGACAAGGAGAAATTTTTAAAAAGGTAGAATATTCGTCTACCAAAGTGAGAAGAGGTAATTCTTTATCTGGATTACCACAGTCCACTGCAGGGACTGGTAGACAAATAAGTGCAATACCGCTATGCGTTAAAGCAAGAATAATTACAATAATTCGACATGGCACAAAACCACGTAAAGTTGTGCGACTTTTATTAAATAAGAGAAATGCTCCGAGCTTGGAACACGCCATGGAGGCGATTACAGATGCAGTTAAATTAGATTCTGGAGCAGTGAGAAAAGTTTATACGTTATCGGGTCAACAGATTAACTCGCTGGAGCAATTTTTTGATAACGATGATATCTTTGTGGCTTATGGCCCTGAAAAAGCGAATCAAGAAGATTTTGAATTAGATTTTGAAGAATCTAAAAACGTTCAAAGTTTTAGAAGATGTCCATGGACGTCGAAAAGACAAAGCGGTCCGATGCCTAGAATGCCACGTAAATCTGGAAAAAAGGTGCTTACAACGCCGCAAGTGCGTACGCCGAGTCCTTCCTCGTTGATTTTACCACAACCGTTAAGTTTACATTATACGGTTGGTCATGTTATCGGAGACGGTAATTTCGCAGTTGTTAGGCATTGTACTCATAAGTAAGTATTATTCGATGATTCGTGTACGATTAAGATTATTTGAAAGACTATTGACAAATATTTTGTTTAGATCTACAGGTGCAGAATATGCTATGAAGATTGTAGATAAGTATAAATGTCAGGGTAAAGCAACAATGTTGGTAATCGAAGTGTCAATTTTACGACAAGTTTGTCATCCAAATATTATCAGTTTCATCGCGGAACAAGAAACGGCGGATCAACTGTTCTTAGTCATGGAACTTGTAAAGGTACGCGTATTCTGTAAAATTTTCTCGTTTATGTTTTCAAAGTTAAAATTATATAATATAATTGTATTTTTATTTTAATTTAGGGCGGAGATTTATTCGATGCTCTCGCTGCAGCAACAAAATTCTCTGAAGCAGAAGCTAGTGTAATGATTGGGCATTTAACATCTGCTTTAGCTTATTTACATTCGCATCATATAGTACATCGTGACGTAAAACCTGAGAATCTTTTGGTGGAAATGGATGGAAGCCATGTTAGATGTTTGAAATTAGGTGATTTTGGATTAGCTCAAGTAGTAAGGGGGCCATTGTATACAGTATGTGGTACACCCACATATGTGGCGCCAGAAATTTTGGCGGAAACTGGATACGGATTAAAAGTATGATTACTTTGAAGAAGATATTTTCTATTAGTAAAGAATATATGGTGTACGTTGAAATTTACTTTTTCAGATTGACATATGGGCAGCTGGTGTAATATTGTATATCCTACTTTGCGGTTTCCCACCATTTGTGTCACCTGAAAACGAACAAGAAGAACTATTTGAACGCATTTTAAGCGGTTATTATGAATTCACGTCTCCGTATTGGGATAATATATCAGATTCTGCCAAACAATTGATTTCAAATATGCTTCAAGCACAACCCGAATTGAGATTCACTGCCGAAGATGTACTGGATCATCCGTGGCTAGCGGTAAATGTCAATATCTGTTATATTATCGGATATCCCCTTTCTGTTCTCCTGCATGGCTTATTTATGTTTTTGTTAACACATTCAGTCCTGGTGATGATTTATACCATCGTGATGGTGTGCACTTCGAAATTTGAAACTGTCGTAAAATTCGTCAACCGTGAAGATGCAGAGATGCGTAAGCTGCAGAGGTCGTAAGCTGGAAACTGTAAAGAACATTCTTGCGACCTTGGTTGATGCCGATTTTAAAAAATTTTATTTACGGGGTCTCGCTTTCCTCGAGAGGTCGAACTCTGTAAATCCAGGATTAAACGTGTTAAAAACAATAAATCAAAAATAATCTTTGCAGTAGTTATGGTGGATCCTCTATATCTTTAACTTCGGTATAGAAGATAGATGTTGGTTATGACTATTTATTTATTAATTTGCTTATTAGTTTCACATAGTCTTTTGAATTATGAACTAGCTACATATCTCTGCCATATAGGATAATATGCTCACCTGTTATACGGCTTTGTCCTTCGCTATTTGAACACGTGCTAGGAAGGCTTCAGTAGTGGTTTGCTGTATCTGTAGCAGTGCTTTTTTTTTCTTTTGTTCCGCCTCTGTATATCAACAGAGCTTTCTAGGAGGCGAGCAGACCACAGCATCAACCCCTACCAACCCGTCGGAGCAACACTGGAATCAGCAGTGTAAGCCGATAAGGGTGTCGACTTTTGAGTTTGACTACAAGAATCTAGCAACGGACAACGGTTCGCAAGATGAAATCGACGGTACACCTAAAAGAAGGATTGGCAGATCAAGTATGAGAAGCAAGTGGAACAATATTTTGTCGACGTTAGAACCAGGAAGTATTAATTCGGATGGTATTATCGATCAGGATCGACAAAATTTTGATCACGGCGAAACAAATTTTAATAATGGAAATCCAAGTGACGACGAACCCGTGTCTCTTAGTGCAGACGGTTTACAAGACGTTCATGATCTTAGTCAGACTATGAATAATCTTATAAACAATTTAAATGAGAAACAAATTCAAGAATATCATTTAAAATCATCGAATAGTGAAACTTCATCCTTAAACAGTATTCCTGAAAATGCAATGTTAATAAGTAGTTATCATAATGCGACAACGGTTCAAACTAATGTGAGTTGTGACGAAAATACAATTCAAGAAAATATATATTCCCTCGATGAGAGAAATTCTCCTAGCGAAATTAATTCTACTGTACAGTTTGCGCAGGAATTATCAACCAATAGTAATGTGCATACATTTGAAACACCCAAGGCTGTTAATTCAAATGTTAATAAAAAGAAGTATAGGCAGAAATATCTTTATGAAAATTTAATACGTCCTGATAAGATTAATTTCAATCTTGAGTGTGACGATATGAAAAATTGTAACGTGCTTCTATCCTCGACTGGTAGTTCGACCGGTAGTTCTGCCAACGATATCGAAACGTCGGACAGCTTCGTTAACATTCAGTTTGCACAATTAACGCCAGACCAAAGGTCCAGCTCCACTCAAAGCATGGAGTCGACCGACAGTTTCGAGAACATTTGTTTTTCTTATAATCAAGAACCAAAGAATGATAACACAAGCGATCCGAATGACAATGGTTTCGTGAACGAACTGCAAGTTTCGTCTTTATCGAACCAGATGAAGTCGGCAACCAAAATATTGGACACACCGAGAACGTTAAAAATGAATATTTCGGAAGTTTCGAAATCGCAGAATCTTATGAATAACAAGAAGAGTTCGATGAAAACTCCGGATTCGTCGAAATCCGCGAAGAACGAGGTGAAACTTAGACGAGTGAAATGTACACCGAAAAATGTCACAGATTCGAGGATACCGACAAGAAATAAAAGATTTAGTTGTCTTTTGCCATCCTCCGCGAAAAAGGAGTCTGGATCTATTTTAGTTAGCGATAAATTACTTCCGGTTGCTACCAGGATAAGTCGGAAGTTTAGTTCTATCGATGAATTGCGGGACGAAAAGCAAACGTCGATCGAAAAATCGAAAAGGTTCAGCTTGTATTATACTCCACAGCCTCTGCGGAAGAATTACGAAAGTGACGCGAAAGCTGGAAAAAGTGCGTGTAAGAATATCTTAGGAAATCGTGGTGATCGGCAGAATAATGGGAAATCTTCGGAGACGAATAAAAAGAAAGAGGACGGTTCGGAACCGGATGAGAAGAATATTGTAAAAAGTCGAAAGTCAGTTATAGATAATACGACACCTGTAAGAACTAAATCGGCCAAGCAGAGCGGCCACGTCAGGTCCGCCGCGAATCCTACTGTAACAATCGGTAGAACTAAATGATCGTAAATTAGTATGTTATATTTGTATGTCGAGAGTTAACTGTCAACGCGGGACTAAATCGTCGAAAGAGTCCAAAGTTCAATGAATTATTTCGATGTATGTTCAAAGTCGATCTAACGAAGGAAGCGGCGCCATTTGTTCTTAGATTTTGAACGCGTTGTTGATGCGAGAGTCAATAATTCGAATTAGAACATGCGAGCTTCGCGCATAAACGAGACATGCCAAATGCATTTAGGTAGTTTATTCCATATTTGATATCCATTATTGTACGTAGTACTGGTATCGAGACTAAACTATAGGTAGTAGAAGAAATATTGCTTCGTTTTTCGATGAGACGTGAGCAAACGGTGAAACATAAATTGTAGCCAATGAAATTGTATTTAACGATGCACAAACCCTTTGTGGCAAGTGACAGAGGGCGACAGCGCGAATAATTATGCGTAACATTTGCGTAGCTTGTTGAATATACTTGCTCAAAACTAATTCGACTAGCGTTAGAGTACATATTTTTATAAAATATTGCGTGTGTGGTGTTATATGAGAGCAATATAAGAAGAATCGTGATAATTAGATGGCAGAATACCGTATAGAAAACCGAATGTTGAATATGAGAACACAGACAGAGAATCATTTTTCTCTCGCATAAGAATATTTTTGTAGAAATTATGTGCCGCACAGAATACATCGTATACTCGCCTTTCTCCCTTTGTCGCTTGAGTATACTTTTTAAGGTTGACCCTGCTACAATTTCCATATTTTTTAATGCAATCATTACTACTTATTATTAAACGATGTACATACGATTAAGATAACGAATAAGAGATTCATCAAATCTGATTTAAGTATTATCGCATCTATTCATTTTTTCATAATTTGTAATTCTTATATCGCGCGCAAACAATGTAACTTATGAACAAAAAATTACATACTATAGAATCCATTCGTATTTAGGGAAGACAATTGTACTTTTTTATCATAAGCACAATTCGATCGCAAAGTGCGTATACGACGTAAGCGTAGTTTATAGAAATTTAAAAGTGATTTACGCCAAATATAGAAACCTATTTCCTATTTATACTATTACGTGTATATGTATTTACTACACTGGAAAAAAAACTCGCAGATCATCTTTGTTGCTATCTCGTTTAATATATCTGCACTTATTTTATTTCTCTTGTACTTTCGATGTAATCGCGTTATGGTCTATGGAAATCATCTGTACTCGATTGATTTCTTTTGAAAATAATTCATTAAAAGACGAGTATGATAAAAGCCGTTCTCTCTAAAGTATTTTGATTCATAACTGTCG